CAGAGAAAGACTGACAATTGAGTCGAGCACGTGAGTCGTTCGTTGTGAATTATAGCGTGACTGTGGAAATTAAGTGTACTGCAAAGTTGTATTCAGAAAGAATAAACCAGTTTTATTAAGAAAGGACCTGTATCGCTAAAGTTTCCTCCTAAAGAATTTTTACGGAAAATTAACAAACTAACGACCAGACACGTAACATTATTATTTTTTGGTATCTAGTACTTTTACAAGGGAGTCTTGTAGTAATACACTGTTTGTTTGTTGGATCTCGCACTAAACTACACGAGTCGGGAGATGGGACAGGAGTAAGTAATCCGGGATTCTATTCCCCTTGGTGGACACAACAGATAGCCTAATGTGGCTTTGCTTTAAAACAAACAAAGAAAGCTACACGAAGACTAGCTATGCCTAATTTCGAACTAATAGACCAGAGGGAAAGCAGGCGATCAACGTTATCCACTGCCAGCTCTAGGGCTATTCTTGTTGACCGTCACACTCAAAGTGCAGAGAGCGATTTATTATTATTGTTATTGGCAGAAACTGGACGCAAATCATGGAACTGTTCACTGGGCCACGCTCGGCACGTGATAATGCGAGATCAGAATGATGCAAATACATAATTGTTGTTAATTAAAACTATAAATCTAATTTCCTATAATTGTAAAAATTATTATGTCTAATATGATGAGTTATTTCGTTTCTGTTATAAACCAAACATACACTGCTGTCTGTTAAAGGTTGTTGTTTGTTATCAATCACAAAGCTACATAAAGGGCTATCTGTGCTCTGCCCGCCACGAGTATCGAAATCCGGTTTCTAGCGGTATACGTCCACAGGGGGGCACTAGAGGAGACACGGTCGTTTAAATATTTTTCTCAGGAACTCTTCATTCGCACTAAACTCGGGTTAAACGTTTCACAGTGCAAAAACCAAAGTTCATAGCAATGACCGTGTCGCAAGTTGACTAAATGCTGAAGTCCTCGGTGCACACATACCATCTTTCAAGACCTATAGCATTTGTGAATGTTGGTTTTTCGTAAGAAGGAAAAAACAACATTAAGCAAAAATATGTGTTTCGTGGTTAGAAAAACTGAGGAAACCGATCTAATTACAAAATGTCTATTAGTGTGTCTTTATGAACACATATGTGTGAACTTTGTGTGTATAATTTACAATGTTAATTGGTTATAATCTTATACTAACTTGCTTTACTTTGAAGGCGCCATTTTCTAGATTTTGTTGCTTTAGAGTATTTTTGGAAAAAGCTTGTAGGTTTTAACGTGCACGGATTGTGAATCCGGGAGTACACGACCTGCCTCTCATAGCTACGAAAGTGTACTCCACACTTCGTTTCCGTTGATCGAATAAAATTGACGGTCAAATCCCAGTATTCTATTAAACAAGAGTAGTCGAAGAGTTGGCGGTGGATGCTATTGATTAGTTTCTCTTCATTTAGCCAATTCTTACACATTCAGTAGGTAAGATGATTAAAATATTTGGATTTTTTTCCCCTATCCTTATTAAAAATTATTGATTTATTACTTATTCAGTCTTTGTGGGCTCGAATACGTTGATAATTTCATAATTCTGGCAAAAGAAACACGGCAATGAATGTAATAAATTACAACGAATAATTCAGAAATCTGCCGCTCTCACGTGAATTTTAAAGATATGTTTAATATTTTGTCCTACAGATGTCACCACTACCCATAATTTCGTGCTGAAAAGTGTCGATAATAGGTAAAATATTTTCTTTACGTATATACAGAACGTGGTCACAAGTAAATAGACACCACCTTTTCAGAAAAAAATGAAAATTTTCAGTCATATTCACATGAATTGGTATATTTATAATTTAATTAATATCTAGTAGATCTTCCTTTCGCTTCCTGGAGTTCGTTGATCCTTTGGGGTATCGTGAGAATCATCTCGTCAATTTTAGATTGTGGGATTTTCGCCCACTGTTGCTTCAAAACTAGGAGTACATCGTTCTTCGAAGTTCGTTTTTTTTTTTTTTTTGTTGTTGTTGTT